TGGTTATGATGACGATATATACTATGAAGTTTTTGCTACTCGTTTGTGTAGGTTACTTACCATAAACTTGAGGTACGCGCTTCGCATGTCAATGGCTCTGCATCTTCGTTGCAGACAGTGCATCTTGTCAATTCTGTTGACTGACCATCGTCTTCATCTTCTCTCACGCAAGAATCCATTTTTTCTCGACTCGCGAATCGTAATCAGCAGAGAGCGATAAGAAGTTGTGTCTGATTAATTATTCAATAGTTATCTGACGTCATTTTAGGCTTCCTACATTCTGATTGGCTAAAAGAAACATATATTTGCTTATGTGTACTGCAGAAAAAAAATACGCGTCCCGATCCTATGGAAGCTTAAAAGTGCCACCCAGATGTTCAGATGACAAGATCCTGGATCTCGTCATGTCTACATCCCATAGTCTCAACTCATCATGTTTGCATCCTTTAGAAGTGATGATTAAATGACGAGATTCGGGATTTCGTCATTTCTACGTCTTTTAGAACACCGTTCCGCAACCTATGGGTCGCGACCAAATGTTTGGGTCGCGAAAAAAAAAAATGATGGTCGCATACTCTCTTCACATCGTGAAAACTTTGCTTAAAACCAACAAAGACAAACGAAATTAAATTACAGTACACGAAAGTGCAATTTAAGTGTGACAAGTGCGTCAGTTAACTTTTGTTATGAGTGCGTTATCACAGTTTCATGTTAGAAATATACTATCAAAACATTTGTACTTCAGGTATGACTACTTTAAAGTGTTAGTTTTGTTCATTTCAATCTGTTAGGCTTTCAGCTACAAATTATAATGAGAAAACAGTTTTAAATTCAATGTGTCTAATATGTCTTCGCATAACGGCAGCAGTGGGATTCATAATAAAAATGTTTGTTAATCATTAATTTTTAAGTCTTTAACTTGTTAGAAAAATGGATAACTTACGTGATTTTGTTAAATGAGTAATTCAAAGTTACGTTTTCATTTTATGGGTTTTACATTGGGTGATAATATATTTGAATCATGTCAATTCACAAAAGAATCAAGTGGATGGTTCTTCCCGATATCCCTCGCGCATATAAAACGACGGACGTTTTATTGACTTTGGGTTCGATGGGTTGCGTCAGAGTGCTTGACATATAATTTAGGTAGTGGGCTAAAAAGGTGCGGAACGGAGCTTAGAGGAGATGATTAGGATGGCGTGTTCTCGGATTACATAACTTTTTTTTATAGTACACTAAGGTCAGTCACAGAAAGATGTACCAGTATTGGGTACCAAATTACTGATCAATGAACATATCAATTTACAGGTTCAGAAATGATCCTTCCCTTATGTTAGGTATAATCAAGCAGTTCAATGTTGAATATTCCATTGCTTAAGGACAGAACGTACCCGACTAAACTGACAAAATTGTCAAAAATTAAAGAAACCCAATCATACACTTCATGTGACTAATTCCTGCCTTCCCCTAATCTAGTTTCTTGCAACCTTATGCATGTTTTCTGCTTAAATTCAACACATAGAACTAACAACTTTATTATTAATACTGTCCAGAATTAAAAAGCATAAATAAAATAATTAACAATTTCTAGTATAAAACATTAATTTCATTTGTTTCTCTTATCTGTACTTTACTTCAATCAATATTTATATATATCGATGTTAAACTGCAGTTAATATTGTATATATTTTACACTGAATTTCATATAAATTAATCGTATTCGTATTTCGGGAAAATTACTTTTTCGAACTGTTTCTCGTTGGAAGCTAATCATTTATATGATCCGATTAAATGACCTATTTACAATTTTATCCAACTTTTGAGATATTTTCTTGTCTTTTTGACTGATAGTACATTTTTTTAAATAAATTGTGAAAGACTTACCATGGACAAAAGTACAAACTAATGAAACGATAAAGATGTGGAGGAGACTCGTCATCTTACAGTATGAACAATGTAATAATGAGAACAAGAACTGACTCTTCCCCAAACAAACTGCATTGTTTTGTGGAACAGCGAATACCGGAAACAAAAATCTGTCGGTGATGATAATGGTCATCGAATTTGGTTGAAACAATTTGGTTGGTGGTTAAGATAATAAAAAGTAATGGATGATTATGAGTTGATATTAGAGAGCACTTGAGTATTTTGACCTGTTGCTGAAAGTTCATAATACTGTACTGTATCACTGTAGCCTACAACAATAAAAGTGTAGCGAAAGAATAATACTAAGCATATGCCTAGAACATTTCGTATATCGTTTTTAATTTTTGTTATTGCGTTTAGCATGTTTTTTCAATATCAAATGTCCTGTTAAAAACAGCCATTGCTGTGTTCGTATAGGTCTGCATAAAATTTATAATATTTATTTTATCATCTATACTGATTAGCTTATGGCAAATGTTTTTGACCCATAATAAAACAAATTAAAAATTATCTAGTCTCTTTGCATTTTCTATTTAAAACCAATCAAGAGCTTTTATCTTTTTCCTTTTTTGATTTTTTTTGCAAGTAATGCAACATATAATTCTAACATTTACTTTAGTTATTCAATCCCTTTGATAACCAATGTACCTGTCTCTTATACACATCTAGATGTGTATAAGAGACAGATTTATAATTTGGAGGAATGATGGGTTGGTGAAACCCTAAACATGTCTTTTATTAAACCTTTTGTGTTATTTCTAAGATGTCTGGTTTTTTGTTTTTTTGTCAAGCTAACGTCCATTTAGTTAAATTATCAAGAATATAAGTTCAAGAAGTTTACCTCTTCCCTTATTAAGGAAAAACGAGAAGTTATTTACTGTATTCGTTTGATTAAATTATCGAACATAATAATAGGGCATGTTTTTGTGAATTGGGACTATTGTGAGTGAAAATTATATCTACCTTGTAATTTACAATGAACAGAATTTAGATAGGAAGCACACTTAAAATTAGTTAAAAATTTCTAGAGCATTTTTATTTCACAGACACGATGACGTGGTTGTTAAAGGTACTCGAAATACTTAATTTATGACGTCATTGTCATAAGCGAGATTGAGTGAAAGTAACATCGGTGTTTTTGTAAAATTGCGATAGGCCTATTACTACTTGAATAACCTGGAATAGACCTACTAACCAAATATCTGTGTCATCGGCTATATGTTTTTCAATAATGACTATGAAATTCAATTGACTAATTATAATTTTAAATACCTTATGTTTTGCTAATGAAAGATTTGAAATTCGGAAAAACAGGGATCTATGCAGATAATATCAATAACAGACCTATATTAAATGATTGTGGTACATCATGTAGATAATTCTGAAAAAGACAGTATTGTTTTTGTTGAAAATATCTCGACGTTTCGATTTAGCTACTTCAATGGACATCAGGAGAATAATTTCTGCAATTTAAAACAGGGAAACACTTAAATGATTCGAAAGTGAACACCAAGTAGCTCACTTTCCAATCATATAAAAATGTCCCTAAGTATATGAGGATAGCCAAGTTATGTTTACATTATGCTACATTATTTCTTGTTGCTTAGATTGGTTTTTTTTTCTAACCACATCTGACTCACCCCATTCACTGTGTGTATTGTTGTATAGTTTAGTGTTAATATTTCTGCTCCGGTAGCTCATTTGACAGTTTACGCGAATTGTACGTAACATTAGTTAAGTTAGCTACTAAGCGCTATAGTTTGCTCACTGTTTATTTTTGTTTATTTCTCATTATGTTTAGTACCGCCCATGCGTTGTTGATAGGCCAATTAAGTTTCAGTAGCTTGCTGTTAAGTATCTATCACTTACGCTGATGAAGTGGAGGAAATATACGTACAACTTTACTTTTGTTTGAAATTCACAATTCAGTTTTTTTGACAGTCACCTCCAGCAAAAAGTATGGTCAAAATACAAGGCAATGAAAATAATATAATATAATATATAATATAATACATAATATAATATATAATATATATAATATATATATATAATTTTTTAAAAAGCGAATGAGGTTTTATGTGTGCAATATGATCTTAAATTTGGTTGAAAATGTTGGATGAGTTTAAGCAATTGGTCATTGAAACACTGGTGTATAGTTTGAGTGGATGCATAAATCGAAGTTTTCACAATTAAGAGTTATCGGTCTTTGCCAAATATGGGGCACTTCAACATTTTCTAATATATTGCTAATTCTGTTGAAAGAGTTAAAACTATTCAAATTACTGTGCTGTTCATCCAATGTTCTGTTTTCTAAGAGAGCGTCAATGACCAAGGATTCGACACATATAATTAAGCTTTCATCAATTTATAGAAAAACATAATTTGCAAAGATAAAATCGGGATATGAACATAATTCACCTCTGACTGTGTGATTCGGTGTTCTTTTATCAACACCAACAAACAAAGCTTTACAAAGTTTAATATTAATTGCTTCACCTGGAATATATATCTATAAAATTAGCTTCGTTAAATTTTTTTTAGAAGATAATGTGTCCAAACTTCGGTACCACAGCGCATAATAAGGTAAGTTAGGATTTTTACGGAGGCTAACATTGTTAGAATAAAGAAATTAAATAGTATTCCGTAACTTAGAGACACTTTTTAGGGCTTTATATCTTAAACAATTCATCAATTTGCTGGTACCCATTGATACAGCTGGGTAGACTGAAAGACACAACGAAAATGCACAGCCAAGGATTCTCGTGGTTGGGAAACCATACTATTCGCACTGTGCCAAACTGCTTCCACATGCTTAAACGCGCTTATATAAGTTATTATTCTATATGCTTGGCATTTGAACTTAATTTTGTGCAACGTTGACACAGATTTTTTAAAATTTTATTTCAATTGACCTGAGAATGAGTTTATTAACTCATTACAATAATTTGCAATTCAAAAAAACAATTTATTTATGATATGAAATCACAGATACGTAATTAAACAAAATTTTTGTTTTTTGTTTCTGGTTTCTTGATTCGAGTGCAATGTTAATGAACAAATATTCTTTCTTTAATATTTAACTTTCTGGATGCACAAGATAGAATATTATGAATAAGAGTAATGACTCAGAAATAAGGGTGGAGACTGCATAGAGTACGGTATACGGTATAGATTAGAATCCTACTGTATAGGAAAATACAAGAAATCCACATTGTTAATGGTCAAAATTAACAAGATTGTATTTATACGAAGTAACACATATACCAATGCCCATTCAAGGATTGAGAGGAAAACAAATCTGGTTTGATGTTAAGTTTTTGCTTAAGGTGTCAAAAATATGAATTTGAATGATCCTTTTCCATATATACAATACTTTGTTATTGTATCAAAACAATTACAGTTGTTTTGATACAATAAAAATAAAGTGTTGTATTGGTTTTATCATTTTGCACACTCACAACTTTCTTGGGGTCTGGCTTCGCCCCATCGCTGCTGTAAACTATGCCGAAAAATGTTATCGCTTTTTGTTTTATGTTACATTTTTGTTGAGTTGAACATTAACCCCGATTGTTTTGCTACCGTCATCAATGTGTGAAGATTCGCATCGTGTTCCTCTTCAGTTTTTCCAAATATTGCTACATCATCAGCAATGCCAATTGTACCGGGACATTTCTCTAGAATCATGTCCATGCGTTGTTGGAAAACGTCTTGGGATACGTTAAGTCCGAATGGTAGTCTTAGAAAGCAATATCGACCTTTTGGTGAGTTAAATGTCAATTTTTGGGAAGCAGTGTCTAAATGAATAGACCAATACGGTAACCATTTTTGCCCCGTTTAATTTGTATGTCAGCTCCTCAAGGGTTGGGGTTTTATGGTGGCTCCTTTTGATTGCCATATTCAAGTCTTTTGGGTCGAGGCATATCCTTACTGATCCGTCAGGTTTGATTGATTAGGTTAGTGAACTCACTCAATCTGTTGGCTCATTTATTTTTTTATGATGCCCTTCTTTTCCATATCGTCCAGCGTGGCATTGATTTTATCAGCCAATTTTATAGGTGTCTTCCTACAAGCATGCACAACTGGTGTAACATTTGGGTCGGTTACGATGTGATACAGTTTGCTAAAATTTCCTATACCATCAAATCTGTCAGGGTATCGAGATATCAAATCAGTGATGTCGGTGATTGGGCAAGATTTGTTTGTTTTTTGTCGGTCTCGACACTGCAGTTAAATTTTATGAGATCAAGTTTTTGAATTGTCGGCAATCCCAATATCGCTGGGCCTTTGCAGTCCACTACAAAAAATGTTTCTTCTGCCCAATCTCTATGTACAGGATGTTGGCATTTTATTGGCAGTATTCCATAGCAACAAATAGGTTCATCGTTGTATGCTATAAGTACAATTGATGATCGTTTCAGAGCTCCTTTTTTAGGAAGTCCGTCATTTTTTACATGATTTGGGTCCTCAAGGGCAGTGTATTCCCCTCAGCCCCAGTGTCGACTTTTACTGTCAAATCTGCTTTGACGTTTTGTATACCTGGTAGCTGTATATCCAGTTTGGTGAATTTCTCGGTAGACGTGGCACTGTTAATGTGTACCACGTTGAATGATAATTGTTCTATATGTTGTTCTAACACATCGAGATCATCATCAGAATCATATATTACTGCATGTACTCCACTCCTATTTTTCAATTTTCCAGTTCCCCGACTTTTCAATTTAGGCCTTTGTTTTGCATTGTAATGCTTTTTGTTATGACTGTAATGGTCCTGATCATGTTGATTAGGATAGTTAGTTGATCTGCACATTGTTGCCCAGTGGTTCATTTTTTCACATTTCCAACACGTTGTGCCATATGCAGGGCAGTCTCGGGGAGGGTGTATACACCCACATTTCTTGCATTTATCATGCTTATTTTGGGTCATGTGGCTAATTTTTGCAGATGGGTTATTTGACTGAAAGTCATTAAGTTGCTTGTGATGCAAAAGTGAAGCTTCATGTCCTCTTGCAAGAGTGATAGCCTCATCTAAGGTATATTCGATATTTTTAGTAAGCAACTCCTTTTGGAGGTCTTTGAAGATTGTTCCAATTGTCATTTGTTCAATAATTCTACTATCCTTTTCTGCATCGGCTAATGCACATTTTGCTGCATGAAATTTAAGTTTAGTTATATAATTGTCAATTGGTACACCCGGTTCTTGTTTTAATTTTTGGAGATACATCCTTGAAACGCGAAAATTGGTTTGCGGTTCTATTTGTTCCTCATATTTTCGCCATGTAACAGTTAATCCCCACGAATCATAACGTTTTAAGCCTTCTTCACCCACCATCAATAGTAGGTGGTTTATCCTTTCGTCTGCTGCGATATTTTTTACTTTAAAATACAATTCAGTGCGGCGCTTGAACATTCGAAAAGTGTCTCCCATATTTGGCGAGTTCCAATCCATGAAAGGTTGTTTATCAGCCATCTTTGCTTTGTTCACACACAACAAATACAATGTTCATTTAAGCAATTTACCTCACAAAGGTTGTTGAAGTTTGTTGAAGTTACTTTACTATCCCACCGCTGCCACCATGTAATATCTTCTTCTAAGATATTTACTGTTGAAACACAATGATGATACAAATACAACTGTAGTATTTTCTATACTACTATAAGCCTTTATTGGATCCTTGGTTTTACACTGTTAACTGTTCGAAGGATAAAATGATGTATGTTTAATAGTCACTATGATTATACATCTTAGGAATGTTGTGGTTTTATGCACTCTACGTTGGTAGGTTCATTTAGGGTCGAGTTGTTATTTCCTGCATATCTAATATGATATGACAATACATACAATAAATAACGAGTAAAATAGTATCAGATATATGCTACAAAAATGAATGTATTTGAAAAGAAGCGAGCAGCAATATATATATATATATATATATATATATATATAAATGTATATATATTTATATATAAATCTACAATGGATTTATATCGTTTTACATATAAAAAACCATAAAAACAAGAATTCCAAATATTTTCATTGACCAGAAAAATGACAAACTTAATTTCTGTATTATTCTACCAACATGGGTAATCACCAGAACTTCATGGTAAGACTTGATATCAATTATCTTGTTCTTCTCAGATTAGTAGAACCTAAATTATCAAAATAGAAAATAAGATTTCTTAACTAAACAATTTTCTTATGCATTTAAAGAGGTTAGTTATGTTTTCTTATTGTTGTTTTTTTTCCCTATTTTATATATTTATTGGATTGCACTTTTGAATACGCACTCATTAGAAAGTGGAACCCCATGTTCAACTGGTGGTTTGCCGGTTTGCCATAATAAAATGTATAGACTGAAATTAACTAACATTTAGGCCTGGCATTTAGAAATCTGCTACTGCAGGTTATTGTGTATATCCTCAATTGACATGTACGTGTGTAACTCTTCATAATCTGAATCCTCACAAAGTGATTCCAACTTTATCACCTTGGAATGCTCCGTCTTGTTTTTCTTCTTAGAATTATAGAATCTTAATTATAAAAAAAAAAACTATGTCATATTAATATGCAATAAGTTATAAAATTTGCATAATACATCTATAATTACTTAGGCCTATGTAACGACTGGTTTAATTTTTAATCTTTTTAGTATTGGTTGTAACTATTTCTGTTTATACATAGAAATTCAAATTGTCTACAAACATACTGGTAAAGCAGCATAGCACCACAAATGTATTTAAAATTATAATAATACAGGTATGCAAAATATGATAATTGAGAGATTATTAGACTAAGAAAGCTGCGATATAATATACTGGCAAAAATGATTATAGTGGCATTTGCACGCAGTAATCTAACTTGTACTGTAGTGACATTAAAATGTTATAAGCCTACACTTTCATTTTTTTTTCCTGAAGGTAATGGGGATTAGCGAAATAACTGGCAAGCGAAAAGCCTTTGACCTGCCCACGATGTCATTGCCCATTTTAAGTATTACATAACTTCTACATAACTAAGTCCTATCTATTGCCCATGGTCAGTGGCATACTAGAATTTATGCAGTATTTTCATATAAATAAGTAATGGCCCTATATTGGTCAATGTTGAAGATTCAGTGCGTAAGCTTTTGCATTATGCAAGATTAAAACTAAATATTATTGCAAGAGAAGAAGAGCAATATTTCAACAATGAAAACAACACAACACCTGCAACAGAAGATGAGTGCTGGATACATCACCAGGATGACGACACAAAGAATACCTACTCCCACTAACATGTAACCAGGTACGGATAATGCAATATTACCTTTAAATGGTAAATAAATTTAAACAAATCAAATCAAAAAGCTTATCTTTCTTATGCAATTTTGATATATGTCATGTCTTCTTACCCAACTATCTGGATTCTATATATATAAAGATATATTATTAGCTTGGAGTTAATATAATTTTTTAAGGAATCTAGATACAGAAAATGAGATATGCAGTCATATTATCTAACAACTGTTTTTTTAAATTTCAAAGTCACTGGTGTATGGCAGGAATTCGCACAATTAAAGATATAACTAATAATGATGGGTCATTCCTTTCACAAAATGAGTTCGATTTAAAGTATCAAATTAAAATTTATTTTCTTCTGTAAAATACGAACCAATATTCTGTCCCAGTGTCTTGGAACATTAAAAGAAAATATGGAAATAGCAAACGAACGTTTTGTACTGGTAGGTATGAATCTGTCTTTAAATAAAAGAACGTGTATCATTCCATTGTGGAACATATTGGTAGGTCTACTGATATAAATGAAAAAGAACACAAGTGGTCATGGGTACAGGATATTGGAAACAGAAAAAAACATTTGCCTACATCACGAACTAACGATCGATAATAAAATTAAAGTTTTTCAGTTAATAAATTTATGCATAAAATCTTTTTCACCAATGTAAAATTGTTTATGTCTGTTAATTTTTAAGGACATATTGTTTCGCTATTTAATTACCGTATATTTACTTCTTTTGTTCACTGTAATTAATGTGTTATGCAAATGAAAAAATAAAAAAAATTATCTTTCGTAATAAACATAAGAGAATATACAGAATATTCACGATTTAAACTTGTTTTTTATAACAATATGAAAGCACAATATTACAAGAAAAAAATTGAACAAAATTGAGCAATTAAGGAAAATATAACAAAAGGATGGAGGATACTTTAATTGGCCTTCTGATTGATCCCCCAAAATCATAACGTTATAATAATAATAATAATAATAATAATAATAATAATAATAATATTAATAATAAGTGTAATTATCTTTTAATGATATTTTTTCAGAAGATTCGATAGAAATATTTTGCTCTTCTTGACGCACCTGATGCAAGTAATCTGTGTATGTCATCATCCTTTTTTTGTGGACGATTATATTATATAATAAGCATATATTATTATATACAAAAAAAAAAACATAACAGTTAACATAACAAAAGAAAAACATAACGTATTATAATACTGTATTGATAAAGACGTTCTTACTTGATTCGTCTGTTGTTATATGTAATACTTTGCTTATTCCATCACCCTTAGAATTGAAAGCCTTTACACTGAAAGCGTATTCAGTAAATGGCTTAAGGTCGTCAACTACGCACTGAAGCTCACTTGTCACAACGTTACTGAAAAGTTCGTGGCCATCTGCATTTTGCAAGCTGAATTTGTAGCCTATGACTAGACCTCTTCTATAACCACACTCTACTTGAGACCATGCAAAGCTGGCTGCTGTGGCTGACACAGCGGTAACATTAACTTCTTTTGGACCATGTTTAGGAACTACATAAACAAAACAGAATAACACGTATTATCATCATCATCATCACAGGCCTGGAACTTTTTAAAAGTGTATATCATATCAGGTGCTCAGGGCACTGCGAATCTTTCACTCGATCGTGGACCAATGCGTCTTTGGGGTTTTAGAAGAAAATGATAATTGAGATGATTATAACAGCACAAAAAACCATATAAAACTGCGTCCATATAAATATGCGTCTTAAATCTTCAATAATGGCATTTATTATAGTTAGCCTTGCAATCTTAAGCTTGCTCCACATGCGTAACGTTGCATTGCAGCAGCAGTAACTCTATAATATGCAGTGTCAAGAATGTCTCTTCGTCCCACTTAAACCTTTGGACCACAAGAAACCGTCTCCTAATGCCTGACCATGCACTCACTCTACCTCGATCAAGAGCAAGCACCTTTTTACATATGTCTATTCCAATTTGGAACACTCTCTGCCTGTTCATGTTGTAAGCACAATATTAATAACGGCATGCAAGCTGTCCAAAAAAAACCAAAAAAAACCCCAAATAAATTCCACAAGAAACCGCCTCTTAATGTCTGCCCATACACTAATTCACTCTACCTCGAGCAAGAATAAGCATCATTTTACATACGTCTATTCAAATTTAGAACACTCTCGCCTGATGATGTCGTAAGCAAGCTTTAAAAAAAAAACAAATTATATTCCTTAAAAACCATAAATTCATGACTTAGTTTTCATTATTTCTCTGAGCAGCCAAGGACCAGCAGATATGAAACTCTGCCTCTCCAGGGAATCCAACATTGTTAAAAAATGTCTAATGTTGGCTTTTGTTCACATGAGCAGCATATGTTTTTTTAAATCAGTGACAAAATCACTGATTTGCACTCCCCACAACCCCAAGTGCTCTTGGTATAATACGGTAGTGGACCAGTAACTATTTGGGTCCCAGTTTTCCCCTTGTCCGAAGAGTAACTAGACCCCCTGGTGTGATCCATGGAAAAAATCTATGCTGCACATATGAGCAAAAGCCAACAATAAATATTTAATGTCTAATGTTGGCTTTTGTTCACATGTGCAGAATATTTTTTTTTTCAAAACGGTTTAAAAAGCCATTTAACAATGTTGAATTTCCTAACATAGTCAGAGGTTCATGTATGCTGGGTCCATGGCTGCTCAGACGGTTTGAAGCCATCTGAAGCCGAACCATTTTCTACAATATAAATGTTGATTTTTAAATTGTAAGTGGGTCTTTTCCTTTAAAGAGGAGTGTTTGCTAAAAATGGGGGTTTGAACGAACTAGAGAAATCCATCTTGTTCAATCCATATTGTTTTACCTTTCTGAGGAGTTATAAATTCAAGAGCAGATTCCGGGCCAAGTCCTGCACTTGTTTCAGCGCTGATAGTGACGCGATACCTTGAATATGGCTCCAAAATTAACAAATTTACTTCAGCATCTTCTACTGTAAAATATTCATTTCTATCAACTTGTTGACAATGATCCATTTCAATCAAATTTGCTTGAATGTGGTATTTTAAAATGTCACATGTCGAAGGTCTGTCCCATACCAAGGTAGATTCAAGGACGGTGATATTTTCTACGCTCTCTGGGACTAATATATAAAAATATAAAAAAAAAACTGTAATCAACTACATTATATTAATATAAATATTAATATTATAGTTAATTATAATATTAATATTATAATTAACTATATATTATATACTTTCGGCCTATCATTCACTGTAATCAACAATATAATTACCAAACATGTCGTGCATTTAAAGCACATGTATGTTTTTGTCATAATAGCAGATCCGCTTTAACTAAGTGGACATCTTTAAAAATAAACAAGAAATAATACCTTCAACATTTGTTCTTGCTTTAATACTGTCACTCCTTTGGGCTTTATTGCCTCTGCCACTCACCATGAATGTGTATGAGGTACAAGGAATCAGGTCTCTGATCCTCACGGTTCTGGGCCTAACAGCAGATTCGGAAACCTATCTTTAGAATAGTTGTACCTATCTATAGCACATTTCCTGTGACCAGATGGAATTTTTTCCCATGTAAAAATTCAGTGATCGTGCATCCTCTATACACTTCTCCTATACCCTCTACTTATAAGCCTACTTCTTGCTGAGCTTATCTTTGCGGTGTGCAATGTATCAGAGATTTTGTTTACTCTGAACATAGAGAAAATAGAACAGAACAGCTGTATAGTATTTTATTTGTGTGGATGATACCTCAAAAAGTAGCTCAACTTGCGCAAAATCTTTTCGGAATTCAGCCCTTATTATTTTTCCGAAATGAGCTGAACGATTTCTGGCCTCAGCCTATCCCAGCCACTTATTTTGTTCCCCATACAGTTAAGGCAGACATTATAGAAGGAGCTATTTAATGTCATTTATAGTGAACGGATAACATGAATATGCATGCATAGCTTTTTTATCGCGAGTCGCGAAAGCAGTGGCTGTGATTGTGGATGAAAGATTTAATGAAAGGTACGGCATATAGTACCGTAAAGTAGGGTTAGGGTAGGACAACATCTGGTAGTCGGTCTAGTTTAGTAGACACAGTGAAAATTGATGGACTACGGTATTGTAATAATAATATCTCTATGTCTAGACACTGTTTACGTACATCATGGTCTTTGATAAAAGCAGTACGTTGAACCTATCGCTTATTTCAGTAGTAGTTGTAAAGATATAGCATACATACTCACTGCTAAATACTACTAATATTCAAGATTATTTTGCTTGTTTTTAAATCACTTCTTTTAAACAACCATCATATTTGCTACATTTTCTTACGCCTGCATATTCTCCAACTCGTACACTTCGTTCTTCCAGTAAATTTCTTCTTCAAGGGGCCCTTCAACGAGAAAAAGCTTAAAACATATGGACAACGATTTTTTTCCGTGTGGTACCTTATCTTTGGAATCTTTGACCTCTTTCTGTTCGACAATCTTCAAATTTAAACTCATTTAAAACTAATTTAAAACACGTTTTGTTTACAAGATCACTTTAAATGGGTTAATTGTTTATTGCGTCTTTGATAGTGTTTTTGAATTGGCGTGTTATAAATTTCTGCATATTATTAATGATTTTGACTGAAGGATATAAACGTTAAAAAATGCTCGGACAATTCTATGAATTGTTTTATTGTTATTTTTGTTCATATTGCAAATGAACGAACATTTCATTCATATGCAATATGAATAAAAGTAAAAGGCTTAGATTTATATGAAAGCATATATATTATAAATATTAATTTTACCAAAACTGACGATGCTCTATACTGATGCACTGTTTATAGTAAACGTAAAAATAGCTCATTTGAAACTACCAAAAACAGATAGAAGTAAAGCACTGTTTTCACTGATTTACAGGCGGTTCTGCAAAATCCTTCAATTTTACCAGCCAATTATAATCATGCAAAAGAATATAGCATATACGCTCACTGTCTGTTAATTGACAGTGATTTTTTTCTCATAAAAATGTTGTTTATTGTAAAATTATAACGTAACAACTGTGTCTGAAAACTCGTAATTTGCCTCCGTGAATTTCTAAATGTTCATATCCCTTCCGATAGGGGCATACAATTGCTACAAAAAACACATATGTCTACTCAAAGAGCCAGATTCAATATTTACAATACTCTGCTTATTTATACTTTCAAAGACCATGCTGTAGACCAAACTGTGTCTAGTCATAGGGATATCATTAATTTTGTCACACTGTGAAAAAAAATAATGCGGCCAGGCCAGGCTTGCTAGGCCGAACCAATTCGAGCAGATGGGCTCGCGGGCCGAATGTGGGCGGGGGGGGGGTCAAATCCTGGTTTGCGGCCAGCAGCCAGGAAGAGCCTATAGCCCTTGAAAGATTGACTGTTCTATTCACTCGGCTCCGCCTCGTTGAATGGAACAGTCAATCTTTCAACTCAATATTCTTCCCATATTGCACTCATAAACATTCATTATTTGTATATTATTATAATGAACTATATTGTATTTTAATGTCATTGTTATGGCAAGGAGGTATATTAATACCTCCTTGGTTGTGGTAAGTGATAATTATTTTATCTTTTTACCTGCAGGATTCATCGTAATGTTGGGACCACTTGCAAATAAACCACATCCTGTTGATGTGCATGCTGCCACTTGTGGTGTTACAGATTCACAAGGGAATCCACCTGTTACGGTTGCAGGTGACACACCAACTGTGATGGTATTTCCAATTACATGCCCGTCTCCATCAATGATTTGTACCTTGTAATGTATAATTATTCCTCCTGTCTGTATACCAAAGCGGACATCAATTTCTCCTTGAATATCGTTTGTTGCGTTTTGGCTTATTATTGCCTGTATATCCTTTGGCCCCGCAGGAGCTTCTGTTCGTAAGGTATATAGAATTAAGTGTCTCAAGATGTAAAATATACAAAATAACAAAAAAAAGAAAAAAATAAAGAAAGAAAAATTGATTGATTGGTTGATGAGGTTATCAATCATTGCTTCCTTTATACATCACATTAAGCTGTTTATTATTATATTATATATTATATGATCACATCTGTTGAATGTTTCTTACAGTACCAAAGTAAATGATCCACCTGAATTCATTGTAGTTACAAACGATTCTTATAGTTTTTTTTTCCTAATGGTATGAGGCCAAGTTGGCGCTCCATGACTTTTCAATGACTATAGAACACCACTACATAATATGAAAATTCTATGGATCGCATGATATATATATATGTGTATATATATATATATATATATATATATATATATATATATAACATGATTTTCTAAATAACTAACTTTTTTTACCTAGTTGACAATCATTCCCTATCCACAAATGTTTGCACTTCCTTTCTCCACAACTTCCAGTAATTCTATTACATGGCTCATCATCTTCACAGTGACAGTAGTACGCACACAGTTTCCCATACCTTCCATCAGGACATATGTCAGGAACTACACACAAAGGACACATTTTAAAACTATTTTAGAAGTAAAGCATCACAAACTTAAAAGAAATAATAAAACAAACTGTTGAATCAATTTAAAATAAAATTGTGTTTTATTTAAATACTAGACGGATCAGCCTTTGTAAAAATGCCCAATAAATAAACCACATAGCAACGATGGAAAAGGTAACTCAAGAGGTAGGTAAAGTTGGTCACATTGGAATAACAGGAACTCTCACTGGTTAAAGCCAGGAACTCCAGAACATGAGGCCCCAGGATATTCGTCCGCAGTTTTATTGCGGCCCCAATGGCCAAGCGGTCTTTTGAGCAGTAGAACGTGCAGAAAAAACGCCCTTAAAACACCAAATAGTTCCTGTTCCCACATACACTCTACCTGGACCCAGCTTTCTTGGGTAGTAGGGCCTAAAGAAACTACTCAGAGTTCATGTGAAATTTTTCTTGTTAGTTTATAAAAAAGAATCCATATAAATTTAAAATTCAGGTCCCACTTAATTGAGGGATTCTCTTGTATAGGTTCCATTTAGTGCCTCTCTCAAAAATATGCTACTCTTGCAGACCAGGAAAGTTTTTTTTTTTTTTTTTTTTTTTTTTTTTTTTTTTTTCTATAAGCATTTTTAAATCTATAAGCACCACTCCAAAATAAGCGTTGCAACGTATTAGAAATATATTTTATTTTAACGTCACAGCTCTAATTGAGAAAATCTACCTAACATCATTTAATATTTTGTATAATATGAATAATAAAAAAATTCTCACAGATTAAATCTAACATTATAAAAAGTAATAAAGACCCACGGTACCATTTTAGCACTAAAATAATTTGCAAACGTGCCTCTCTGTAATAAAGCCATCCAAATTTGTGGAAATAAATGCCTCTTTCTACACAATCGAGCCAAGCCAACAAAAAAGACGAAAATAAAAAAAATGATAGGTTGATCTACAGTATCGACATAATTTATAGGCCTGGATTTTATTACCATAAATATAATTTATATGAATTACAACGTCAAAATGCAAATAAGATATAATCTTCTTGGTGACACTTTACAATGTTGGAAGACAATACATAAAGGGTAGATAAAAGAAACCTTGACAGTTTTTCCCATGATAACCATCTTCACATGGTCCATTTGGACATCCAATACTTGGATCGCATACTACACCATCTGCACAGTGGCATTCCTCACTGCATGTTGATCCATATTTCCCCATTTCATCACATCCTATAAACCAATAATAGTTCCTAGTTGTATACTTTCAGTTTGACATTAGTTGTGGTATGCCTGCTATCAATATATTTCACACATTGAACAAAAATTGCAGAGATTAATTATTCAGTTTTTGAACATGATACTACAGTATTTCTATTCTAGTCAATTCAAATTTGAATGGAGGATATTCAACAAATGTTATGTTATTTGTTCCTCGTCAACAATTTCAAAATTTTAATAATAGTTTTTATTACAGAGGTACATCTTCCGTTGAGTCAGCAATGTCGTTAGAGCCACCCTCGCAAACGATTTTAGTTGAATAAACAAACTAGAGCAGTCACTCCATAGAATGAATCTATTCGGCTTTGTGCTTACCGAACAATACGCAGTCCGTGTATGGGCGATTCCATTATTTTATTTCACGGTCAAGTGTAAAAAAAAATTCGAATTTCTGTGACCTTGACCCTGTCCTTGACCTTTTCTTCGTAAAATGTAATCATCTCTTTCTTATATTATGTACTATCTACAAAATTGTATGATTCCTTAGCTTTTGCGTAATATTACTAACAGACAGACAGACAGATAGGGGTGACTACATAACCTCCTTAGCTGAGGTAATAAAGTATAAAAAAAGGCCAACATGAAAATAAATACCAAAACACCCCCCCCCCAAAAAAAAAATTAAATTAAAAAAAATAGAACACCATGAAGAAGGAAAACAAAACCATAAATAATCTAAATCCAATTCTGTCAATGCAATTAAATTTCTACAAATAAACTGCAGAATATATATTGAAAAACTTTACAAAAGTATACATATTAGAGTAATTAATGAAAAATATGAACGTTGCAGAAGGCTAAGACTTTAAAAGCAATGGAGTTTAAATGTATGTATGGAGTTTAAATGTATACGTCAAACTTAAAAACGAAAAATATTTATGTAATAAAAGCAAGAAAAAAATAAATAAAATCCATTTGTGAAAAAACATACATAATTTAGATAGGTAGTGGTAGTTATTGGAAGATATTACTGTATACATGACTGTAATGTCTTTGGTTTGGTACTTTCATTAAAAAAACAACGTGCAAAGGCAGTGTACAACTGAAATGGAGCACATTTTACAAGAAAAACATCAAACCAGATAAATATAAAAGGCTAGAAAAAAACCAAGCAATCATTACAAACACGGTACATGATAACTAAAATGCCCAAACATTTACTGCATATTACATAATTTATTAAACAAAATTTAAATTTTTCTTACCCTTTTTGCAGTTAAGACCACCATATCCAGCCATACAAGAACATCCTAGTGGATCTGGAACACACGCTAACTTTCCAAGACAACCAGGATTTCTAGAATTACACACAATTGAGCAGTTTCTTCCCCACCTGTTGTTTCCACAGCCTAACAAAAACCGTAAACATTAAATAGGCTCATTTAAAACTAATGATACATATAAAAAGATTTTAAAATAATTATAGTAATAGTAATAGTAGTAGTAGTAATGGTAATAATAGGTCGATTAAAAAAAGGTGCAAATAGCAAAGTCTCAAAGCGCCATGTCCAAGTAAAGAAAACGTAAAGTGAACGTAAAGAAAAAGCAGACAAAATAATATAAATGCAGGCGATTTAAAGAAAATAGAAAAAGCAAGAACAGACTATTCTAGAATTAACCAAAAAAGGAAAACCACAAAAACAGACTAGTGCAGGGAACGAAAACCATTGCGCCGTTTTTATTTTCGCAGTTTGAGAAAGACTTTTTTTCAGCAAGACCATTCTGGTGGTGAATTTGGCAATACACTAGGAGAAGATTTTTTACACTTTTCAGCAGAGTGTACTGGACTGCGTTCTTTAACGTGCAGCTGAGAATCGTCTCTTTTCAAAGACGGTGTGCTACCGTAATTAGTATTTCAGTTCCAGCTAGAGAGGAGGGTTAACTAGAATTAGACCAGAAACCGAAGATTTGAAAGGATCTCCACTGTTCAGCATTAACACAGTGGTTAGCATTTTCAACTAAATAATAATACCACTACTGGTTTAAATATCATACAGATGTATGTCTTAGTGGTAGCGTTACGTAACATGTGGGGACCTGGGCATGGTGAGTCTTGAAGAAGTGGGGTCCTGTCCCCTCCCCCGCTCTCTATCAGCCTATGAGCATGACATCACTAGTCTCTACTCCTCCCAGTTCTCTTATAAATATAGTTGAAAGGTAGTTAAATTCAAGAAAATTGATAAAGGTACATTAACTATGGATTGTTAAAATTTAATTATATCTATACTTATATCATATTGATGTTTATATAATTCATTAAGAGGAAAATGGACAATTGTGTGTAAGCAGCTGAAAACAAAATGGATGAACATCATATTTTGTTTGTATTCTAAAAAAATAATTTACCAAAACTACAATCAGTTGTATTGAATCCTGGGGGACAAACGCATAATCCGGTGACATCATCACACACTCCCCCATTATAGCAAGCAGGACACACGTTTTGACAATCTGGTCCCCAACGAGCAGCTGAACAACCTGTTGGCAAAAAAAGGACATCAATGATTATTGAAGTCCAGTGAAATACATTGGTATCACCATTGTGCATTTGTGAGCGAAACTCTGAGCCTTAGGCTGGGGGGGGGGGGTCCGGTGCCCCCGTCAGGGTCAAGGTGCAGGGGTCCGGAGGAAAGCCCCAACAAAGGGCCTCAGTTAATAGATTTTTGAAACGTATAATTCGTGAAAATTTTATTGAAATTTACGTTCATTTATTATTTACATCCATGGGTGTTGTTGGGGTACCTGAAGAAGTAATGGTTTTTGTCCATTACACCAGTAAGCCTACATTATAACATCTGCAATCACCAGAGAAGTTATTAAAAATCAACGGTTAAAAGAGCTGACAAATGAAATTCAATGATGCATAGCATTTTGTGATATTTGGGAACAATTTTAGTGAAACAGGTTTAAAAAAGTGGACCTTTTAAAATTAGGGGGCTTTGGTGGATTCTGACCCTCTGCAACCCCTGCCCACGGCCCGTTTCCAGTCTCACGCGGCCATCTTGTCTGAATCCATCTGTGTGCATGAGACCATCTCATGTAACATAATAGGTGAACATCGTTAGGATATCTCAGAAAGCGAACACAACATTGCAGCAATATCTGCAACATTATTTAGATAGCCTTCGAGGTAGTAACTAAAATGTTGCAGGTATGCAATATATATTTTGCTTCTGTTTAACACAAAGAAAATTCTTCAAAACTGTGTAAGGGTTCCGATGGCGGACAATCTTGACTTTATTGATTTTTAATAATTTTAAATCTTTCTTTTTTCTGCGCTACTGCCGTCGCTGATACTTTTTTGCTGTCGCTGTTTGCTGGTATCATTTATTGTTGTTCTCATGGAGTTTCTGGGAATATCCAGAAACTCCATGAGAATAACAGTATATTGTTCCTTGCTTGCTGCGCTGTTCTGCGCTGCGCTGCGCTGTGCCTTGCTGTTTTTAATCATTTTTACTTCCTGAGATCAGAGATTTATTTATATACTTTATGTATCCTTAAATCAGTGGAGAAACTTTATACAGCAATTCAGTTTGCTTTTTGTTTATCCTGTCTCTGATTTTTGGTTTTGTTATTTCTGTATGTTTTGTTTTCTGTTTGACGAAATAAATGAAATGAAATATTTATGGTTCTGCGGAAAAAATCTTTAAAATTTAATTGCAATGTTATTATAACGAAAAAATGTTTATCTGAGAGGACCATCTCTGATTAAAGAATGTTTCCATCTAATACATTTTTAACCTCTCTTTTTTAAAATATTTTTATAGAATTGTTTCATATCATATGAGTCCACAAGGCCTAATTTTCATTATAAGTGAAAAGGAGGTCCCCCCAGCTAAACCACCTCTTCAAAGTTCGGGACACAATTGATGTTCAACCAGGGTAAGCAATATTTTAAACACTGTGTTACTGTCCTTATTATATTTAATATCCTTATTAAAATATTGATGCATTTACCTCGTACAATGAGCCTCATGATAGCATGTTTGCCCTCATTTCTTCTGTTTTTTAAATAACATTCATAGATTCCAGCATCAGCCTTTTTAACTTCCTCAATTGTAACGTTAACCATTCCCGACCAACTCTTAATTATATTCTCATTCCGCCTCCATCGCAAATCGGTCACATTACCATCGACCAAAGTCATGTTTAATGTCACTGTTTCTCCAAAGCTTACTGTTTGAGTTCGCTTTTCAGGTTTTATATATGCTGTAATAAAAATACTATATTTATAAAGTAAAATAATTTATATAAACATGTAACATAGTAAAGTTGAGCTTCCTACAATTAAATTCAAAACTGCCTTTGGGACGCTCCCATTAAAAGAATTATTTAAAAAATTGATAATAATAATAATAATAATAATAATAATAATAATAATAATAATAATAATAA